AGGTGAACCTCGAAATTGTCATACCATCTCGGTATGTTAAAATATTTTTTTGTGTAAAATATACACTGTCACTAATGATGTGTAAATTTTTTCCATCTCCAGCAGTCTATTAACCTACATTGCCATATCACTAATGTGTAAAAAGGTTGTATAAAATACACAACCTTTTTTACACGACAAAATCAACAAATTTCTTTTTCCATCCCTCTTTCTCATTCCATTAAATAATCAACCATATATTAAGTAAGTTTGTAAAAATTATGTGGGTCATGGCATGTGTATGTGGATCATAGCATGACACATAGTTGATTGTTATTGGAAGATATATTTTTACACAAAAGGTATAAAACAACCGTTTGAGCTAAAATTAAATAATTCAAATTTTTTATGTAAATTCATTACGACATATTAGATTTACAGAAAAATATATATATATATATATATAATGGTTGGAGATGCTCTCAGTCTACCAAAATATAACTCTCTCTCTCTATATATATATATATATTTAAAAAATATTTTACTTCCAAACAAATGAAACCTAATGTCATTGTGACACCTTCCTTAACCAAAATGGGTTTTCCATAGTCATTTTCAAATATAGCACCTATATGTAATTACGGTAAACCTCAAATCTATGTATATATATATTGCATATTGAGGTAAAATTACTTTGACTAATTTAATACGATCGGTTTGTTTTGACGTAAAATAATTTTGTTCAAATAATTTTTGTATGTTTTAGTGTTTAACAAATGTTTAGATCATAATTGAGGTCAAGTCTACCGAATGGAACGTGTAAAATAGTTTATCAAAATTTGATAAATAAATTATTTTTCTTAAATTTTAATATATTTTTTTTATAAATATTTACGATAACTAAAAACAAATATATATATATATATATATTTTAAAATATTTTACATTTATTGGTTCGCATGTCCACTTTATTTAGCAGTGACTTGTAATTAATGTTATACCTCCAAGTAAAGTTATCCATGTCAGAACAAAAAATCCGATTCCACTTCGTTGGTCATCAAAGTACACATATCATCTCTTCGTCATTTTAAGGTTAGACCGCTGTATGACCAAATTACCATATTGGGTCTATATGAGCATGACAATGATGCAAAAAGATGATTGAAAATATTTTTCTTTATTTACTTATTTTTTTCCCTTTCAAAGAACTTTCGCGAAGGAGATTCGCTGATATGACGCAAATCATAAAGGAGTAGATCTTTGTTTCTTGAAATGTATGAAATTGATTTCTAATTAAATAAAAAATTGAATATATACTGTATACTAAAAATGACACAAGTAATTTATGAACCCTTTATGATTTAAATTTTTGTACCACCAGAGCATCTCTCGCTGTTTTTTATTTTTATTTTTTAAAAAAATTTGACGTGTCCAGATTTATGTAAAAATTTTGGAACTATTAATTTTTAGGTCATGGCATTATTTTATGAATAATATTTAAGTCCCCATCAGTGAGAATCAACAAAATATTCACTATTTATGTGGATCAAAATAAATTGGCATGTGATATTTAATAACCAAATCAAATATAGTAATTGTTCATCAGCGATGGGTATATTATAGATCTTCACTAGTCAGGACTTAATATTGTCCATATTTTATAACTTTTGTATAGAAATGTATCGGTCAATAATAACGAACCAATTTCAATCATAGAAGAAGAACTTTGGATATAAGATTCACTTTTTGAATGAAGACGGTATTTGTTAATGGAATGAGAAATAAGGAGGAGAAAGTAAATATATTAATGTGACTGTGTAAAATATACAACAATTTTATATATATATTTTTTTAACTTAACATACTGACAGATATAAAAAATATATATATTATACATTACATATGGCAGTATATATTTCACCTAAGAAAATGTTTTAACATACTGCTGTATAAATGGTCTTTTGTCATTAATGGAAGGGCAAATAATAAATGTAATGGAATAAATAGAGCCAAATGTCAAAGTTACTGTGGCACGTATATTAATTACTTCATTTTTTCTTTATTTTTTTCCATTATTTAGTACTTCTACATATCATCTATGAAAAATGAGAGGGTTAGATGCTGATCTGTAATTATTATTGTGAATAAATAAAAAATGGAAAAAGGGGAGAGAATATAAAAAGTTATTTTTGAAGGGAGAGAATATATTTGGCGCTCCATTCTTCTTTTATTTTAAAATAATATTACCCAAATGTCCTTAGATTATACAATAATTGATTCTTATATTTTTTATGTCATAATTACTCTTATTTGATAAGAATTTGACCGGTAAAATTCACATATTATTCTCTCTAACTCATACATCCTTGTATTTGATCTTCTTTTGACTTTCGTTAAATTCATCAATTATTCACTTTGAAAACACACCTTTGTATTTGATCTTATTCGGATTCATACATATTTTAATGGTTTATAACACCTTCGCCGTCTTATAATGCGGACTCCATATGAATTTAATCAGACCCACTCCAGTTACAACAACAAACAAATTAGCAAAAATGTTTCAACTATTGATTCAACTCAAAATAACCACAAAAGCAATCCAAAACTATGTAATTGCAATGGAGTATTTGTTGCTAATCTCTCCACAAGATTTTGTCTATCCAGATCCTCAGATTGAAATTTTTCGATCCTCAGATTGAAATTTTTCGATCATACTTCTCCGTCACATGATTAGATTTATAGTGCAGTTGAATCTCAAATAATTTTTCACAAAACAAACACATAGATGTTTTGCATATGAATCATTTGTGCACAAATACTAGTTTTTTTCTTTGAAAAAATGTTGACCTCAATTTCACTTAGAGACTATCAAAGTTCAATCCAAGAATGGAAACTATTAAGGTTTCTATTAATCCTACATATAACTGCCACGATCACTCTCTATCTGTTTGATTTTTCCATTCCTCTTCCTGACTCACGATGCTCTCTTTTCCACTTTGTAAAATTGAAGGGAAAACAAAGCATTGAGAAGTCTCTATGGATTCATAAAATCAAATGGGAAAATACATATAAATGTATATGTTTACTTGAAGAGAGGAAAATAAAAAACCCCTAATAAGATTGAACATATGTATTCATGTTTTTTTTTTTTTTTTTTTTTCTTTCAATATATATTTTGGTTTTATATTGTATCGGTATTGGGGATTTAATTAGAAAAAAAAAAAAATAAAAAAACTTCCAAAGTTAAGAGAAATAATCAAGGAAGTAGTAGAACGAAGAAATTAGAGAGATAGAGAGGGGTCGTCAAAACTTCTTCCGTTTTTTTTCATATTATTTTAGAGTAAAGTGTAAAGAGTTGAAATGGTTAATGTTGGGAAAGTATATGTAATTAATGTGGTGAATTTTTTTAGTATGAGTGGGTGAATGATGGTGGGTGAACTATATTTATGTAGTGTTATCTTCCTTATAAGATACTAGTAATATAGGAGGTACAAATGATTAATTATTAACATATACTGACATAAAGGTCCAAGTAGATATAATTAATACTAAAAAAAGAAAAAAAACAAAATACTCACCAATACATATCTATACATACATGTACATTAAGATAAGATAAAATCCGCATAATTTTAAATTTTATATTTTACAAGTATATATACACAAGTATATATCCACAATTAATATTCGTATTCTGTAAATGACAAGTTAGGATTGTGATATAATCAATCAGAGGGAAATGTGGTGCTTCAAATCTTTTTTTTAGGTGAGATTCCTTTACTTTAAATCTTTATGCGTTGATCACTAAGATGGCCAAAACAATAATTTTTAAAGTGGAAATTACCATGCTGCCCAACGTAAGAATATTGGGATCTAGAGTGCCAGTGAAGACACGCCTGTCATTTCATCTCTAGATACAATTATTGTTGTGTGTTTATGGAGAAAATTCTCTGAGAAAACGCATATTAGAATATTCGCATTGTGGGTTAGATCAGTATGAATATTTATTTGTATTTATTTATTATTTTATTTCTAAGTGAGTAGTAATAATTGAAAATAGACCCTCACATGTCCACACCAAACTCAATATAAAATAGACATCCAACATAATGGCAACATTTCTAAAACAATAAGCTTACCATTCAACCAAAAAAACACATTTCTAAAACAATAAAAATAAAACTAAATAAATGAAAAGAGAAAAGAAAAACACGAAAACAAATATATATGAGGTGAAGTTGTCTCTACTTTTGGGAATATCAAATTTGAGCTTGAATTTGAATTGGTCGTGCAAGTGCCATCTTGCTAAGTGATTAGGTTACTCCTCGGAGAGTTGGTATTTGAGTCTTACACCATATTCTCTTCTGTAATCTTGATATTCTTGTCATTAAAAAAATTATTAAAATAAAAAATTAATTATATAGTCCGAATATATTATGAGTATTTTCTTGCATTTTTCGTATTTATTTGTGAGGGGATGGTAAAAATTGTCAAGTGTTATTTCAATTAATCATAGTTATTAGAAGGGGTGAAATAGACAAGAATTTAATTTTTGATAATATTTATACAGTAGAATTCTAACTCACATTTTTATTATTGATAGTTCGAACTTTTATATCAAGGAAGGAATGACTTATTTGAATTATAAATATGATCTACAAATTTTTTTTTTTTTTTTTTTTTATCTTTGTTACTCCATTTTACATAAAAAAAAAAATTTGTCTTTTATTTTAAAATTTTCATTCCAGTTCCATGTAAAATAATTGAAAAAATTGATATAACAAGATACGTTTAACACTGGAAAGAGAAAATAAATCACGAGGCATCATTTTTTTGAATAGGATTGTGAGGAATATGAATTATTGATAAATTCAAATTCCTTTTATTAAGTGGTTAAATAAAAACATTAAAGAGGCCACAGAGAAAAATCAAAATTTCCGCTTTTGGTTTTTCTATTTTTCTATATTTTTTTTTTTGTGTGGATGCAGTAGCCGGAGCTGTGGCTTTCCTTGCCTCTCTCGATCTGACCCCCCCTCCCTCCTCCTCTCCTCCTCTCTCTCTCTCTCTCTCTCTCTGAAAAAATACAAAACACAGTCCTTAAGCTTCTTCTCAAATCTTCTCGGTCTTCTCTGGTTTGATCTCTTCCATCATATTCTATATCTGTATCTACATCCATATCTATATAGTTTACTAGTTCATTGTTTTAATTGATTCTCTCCCTCCCTCCCTCTCCAATATATGTTTAGTTCTGACTTTGACTGAAGACTTCATTGTATATAGATTGAGCTCTAAACCTCGTTTTGTATAAATCTCATTTTATATCTGTTATATAAAGATTTAGTTTTGAAGTTTTTATGCAGTAAAAGACTTTTCAAAGAATGATATATTTGAAGCAACCGAGCAAAATCTAGGATTTGCAGCGCTGGGTTGACTTTCAATATCTTGCGTTGTATGTTCATGTAAAATAGACCGAGCCCGAGGCTCGGGATCCGATCCATGGCGACAGAGAACGATCAACAGGCTTGGATCGAAGATGAGCCCATTCCGAGCACGGTCTATTTGCAGAAATTCAGGCTCTATGAGACCCGCTCGGTACTTCCTTCTACGATCTTTTGAGTTCATAATGCAGTCTTCTGGATTTAATTTGTTACTTTGATCTTTACACAACTATAGATATTTTATTATTATGCAGAATTTTATGTCTTTTCTTGTTTTTGGCTTTGATATGGGTTGATTTGTTGAAAGATGGTCTAATTTTGCTAGTTTTTGAATTTTGCATTATGTTCTGTGTTTCCAAAATATACACATTCTTTCTTTGGGTTTCTCATTGAATTATAGATTTGGACTTTTGGGTTTCTCATTGAATTATAGATTTGGACCGGTAGGATTATATGCTTTCTGTTTCTTTATCCAGTTCTTTCTTTGGTTTGTTTTCCAGTTCTTTCTTGGTTGAACTTTGTGATTCAGTTTTCTTAGTTGCATAGAAGATAATACTCATTGATGAATCAGTACATTCAAAAAATTATTTTTAAAACTTATGATTTTCGTTCCAAAACTGAATCAACAAAAACAAACTGCATAGAATATAAGGCTTGGTTTTTTGGGTATCTATTATTTTTAATTTAGAAGGTATATTAAAGTTTGCTGCAAACTTCCATGAATGTATCTTATCAAGTCCATGATTGCTCAATTCAGTTTAAGATTTTTGGGGTTAATTCCGTGAGGAGTTTTTTCTTGTAATGTTGAATTTAGAGAGACGCTAACATGCATCCTGTTTTTTTTTTCCTTTCTTTTTCTTAGTTGGTACTCACACACACTAATTTGCATCCTGATCATAATCAGGTTGACTCTATCATTAGTCACAATCATTTGCTTTCTAGATTTTGGGAAGTTGAGGAGATACCACTGGACTACAATCCATGGTGGTGAATTCACTTCTAAATTTGCTTGTGCTTTATTTCTTCTTTCACTTGCATACTTCCAAAAGTTGATATTATTGTCAGATCTGTCTAATTTTCTTTATACCCCAGGCCACCGTCATTATCATCTCGTGCACTGAAAATTATTGAGAGATGCTTACCTTTTGATTTTTGAGTAAGAAAAGTAGTTGCAAGATTGTAATTTATCCAGAGATACGATATTGTCTAGGATTCATGTTGACAGGCTCATGGATCCTTTTCTAAGCTGGCAGGGGACCATTCCATGCTGACCAAAATTTTATTTTCTTAAAGACAATGATTTTTTCATTTAGGATGAGTAATGCAATGCATATATTAACTCAAAAGTCGGTGTTACTTATTCTATAACTGTTCAACTAAATGATGCCTTTCATCCCAATTGTTTGAGGTGAATGGACGGAATTTTTGTACAAATTGGCTCTGTGTTGGTATATGTCATTTATTGGGGCATCATCCTATCATTTCTCACTGCTTTAATGCACACCCTTGTTGGCCTTTATTTTGTCGTGTAGCAGCCTAAAGTACAATTTTATGTAACTTTTTCCTATTAACCAGTCAGTTGCCACCTTTTCTTGCGCTGACAAATTCCTTCCAGATGTTTTCTCCTTTTCTTTTCTTAAATCAATATTCTCTTTAATCTTTAGCGAATACATTTTTTTGTTATTTTTCCTGGATTGCAACTCACTATCTTTCCAACATCTTCTTCTTGGTTATATTCTTACTCTAAATGCTGTTTTTAATCCTTTTGTACATGTCATTATTGTTGAAGTGGCCATCTTTACAAGTATTTTCATATTGATAACAATAGAGATGACAAAGCACTTAGGAAGCAATTCCTTTCCTGGATTGATGATTCCCTTACCTATCAAGTTTCAACTAATGCAATCCTTTCTCATTCGGTCCTTTCCTGGACTGCTACTAATTTTATTCCAGCATCATCTTTTCTATTGTTCTTCTTCTGAATCGCTGCATTTGGAATGCCCTTTGTACCATATATTATGGTTATTCGTGCAGTGATCTTATAGAAAATTATCATTCATTCTGATAAAAACGACAACCACACATCCCTTGTAAAGCAATTTTACACTTCATATATCCCTTAATTCATTTGTAGTGACTAACCTTCCGTTATGAATGATGGGTCGTAGATACTTTCAGTGTTGCTTTAGCCATAATCAAATAGTTCTTAAAACATAAACTAAAATCTAAGATTAGAAAATGAGTTTGAGCAATTAAACTGGAAAAATTTACCATTTTTCTTTTTCTGTATCTCAGATTAGCATTTCTTTTCTTTTTCTTATTTAAAATTTAACTCATTCAATCAAATTAGTGCTTTGTTCATCTGATTTTCTAAATGGAAACTATCAATTTGTGGATTGAGGTATTGTTGCATGGTAATGACAACTGTTGTAGGTTTAAGTAGTCACAAGTAATCAGTCGGATTCGAATTCGGATGGCACCCCGCAGGGAGAATTGAGATTAAATTAATAATCTATTATTCATTACATTTTTTCATTTTTTTATCTTCATATGGCTGTTTTGGGCTCTAAAGTGTATTGCTAGTGTTTTGCTTGCGTTTTTTAATAATACATTATTTGTGATGATATTCATTTATATCTTATATTCGAATGGCTGTTTTGGGCTCCAAAGTGCAACTCTAGTGTTAAGCTGAAATTTTAAGTGGACCGACTTGGTTTCATGTCAACATACTGCCACTTATTCTGTTCTTTTCCTTGCAAAGAATCACCTGTTAAGGTGGGCCTCCGTGCGATTCTGATGCTGCCTGGAATGATTCATGATCAACCTTTTAGGTAGAGGGCAGTTTGCAAATTATTGTCCTTGCAGGAGTATCCTAATAGAAATGCAGTTCTAAATAGCAAGGGATGTGAGCTTTGAAAGCAAAACATTCCATCAGCTGACAGAAAGGGAAATAATCTGCATGAGATATAAGGGATGGAAAATATCCTTTTAGGATAGGATATTCATTACTATTAGAATTATAATTGGGTTATGAGAGTGCCAGAGAGGTTGGTAAAATGAAGAAAGTTTTTGGGCAAGACAAGAAAGGAACTTGCCCTTTGACATCAAGGGATAAGAGCTGATTGCTGGTCATTGAATAATTGGAACTTTGACGAATGACTAATTGACTTCCTTTCTTTCAGTATTCTTTTCCACTTCCCAGTCTATTAATAACAAAACGGGGATTGGATTTCATTTCTAAGACCTACAATGTAGTTCTCATGCTAACTTGCTGACGCACTATGGCTTTTCAGCCTTCTGCGGGTCCCTTCATTCCATTGCCTCCGCCTTACACGGGCCGATCAACACCCGGATCTTGATGCGGAACCCCGCTCTGTATTCCTGCGCGACCGGGTTTAACAACAGCTACCCAATATTCAGGGGATTCTTTCCTTGAACCCATACGTGTTTCTGTAGGTTTTACTGTAACCAGTTTGTCGGGAAAAATACATTCTATTATGACAACCTGAAAAAGCTTGCCCATCAGTACAGCAAGCCATGCTTCTTGATACATCATGCTAAAAAAATAAAATTAAAATGAAACTGACAAACTCGCTTGATATGGCTCGAACTGAAATAGTAGTTGTGCGATTCTAATAACAAAATCCCTTACAAACGTAGTATGGGAAAAAATATTGTAAAAGTAAAAAACCATCATCATTGCCTTTATATCATATGGGGCCGGGTAATGTAAATCCAACAAGTAATGTCAAGATTTTGACTAAGCTCCTTACATACAATGAAACCCCTAATAAATCATAATTAATAATTTTCAGACAAATAATCTTGGTTCAAGGTGACAAGAAATGTCTCTTTACATAATGGTTTCTTGTGAAAAATCAATAATACTATTAGTCACCGGAATAGATAATTATTTAGAATCGGAAAATGTTTTACCCACCTTTGCTTGAATGTCCTTGATATGCTTTAGAGTTTAGCCAGTGCTCGATTTGCAGCCTTATTTTTTATTTGTGTGAGATTCTGAGTGTTCTTAACACTTTATTCAAGCTTGATATTTTGATTGAAGTAACTGACTGTCCGCTAATCTTGAGCCATTTTATTGGACAAGGCTCCTACTTTCCACATCCAATAATAGTCCATCTGTCCCTTAAGAAATATTATTTTGAAAAATGTTCGGTTGAAAGTATTTGTATATCATAAACTACATTTGTGTTCATACTAAGCCACAATTTTTTTATTGTTGAACTATTTATACTAAGGTATTGGTAAAATTATTGGGTATGCAGTTGTCCCAGTTTCACTTTTTATTTATATAGACGCGTGCCTCTGGTCTTTTTGTTTTCTCCTTGGTGATATAATTGATAGTGTATTTTTTACTTTTACAAATCAGATGTATCATGCATTTATTCTTTCCTTTTCTTTTTTGGTGATAAACTTGTTCATCTTAACGGTGAACGTTGTCTTCCCCTCATTCAAGATACTTACATTTATGCTGTTTATATGCGATAGAATTTCTATATGATTGGACGGGACAAGAACAGAAGTTTCTGGAGAGTCCTAAAGATTGACAGATTAGAGTCTTCTGAGCTAAACATTCTTGAAGATTCTACGTCATACTCAGAAATTGACTGTTGTGACCTGCTGAAACGAATAAACGAGGGAAACAAGTCAACAGGCGGACTAAAATTTGTTACTACTTGTTATGGAATTATTGGTATGTTATATATATTCAAGTTTCAATGTTTTCTTTGTCAAAATTTTTTATTTGTTTTTCACTGATCTCATGGTATTTTATCTGATTATAGGGTTCATAAAGTTTTTGGGACCTTATTACATGCTCCTTATAACTAAAAGAAGGAAGATCGGCACAATCTGTGGCCATGCAGTATATACCATTACCAAGAGCGAGATGATACCAATTCCTAATTCTACTGTCAGATCCAATATGGCTTTTTCTAAGAATGAGAACAGGTCCTTTGTCAATTCTGCATGTAAATGTAAAATGTCCTTGGTACTTCTGAGGAGACCTAAGTGATTAATATTGAGAAATTTTTATAATTTCTTTGTATCTAGATGATAATTGTCTTCCATTGTGGTTAACTTTATCTTGATTTTAATTTGATTCTTTTTGGACTAATACTCTGAGTTTGGGGGTCTTCTTTAGATAATAAACAAGTTCTACACTGTGGAGGTAATTTCTGTACTATTTTGTGAATACACCCTTCAGTGTTATATCAATTATGTGGGCTTGTTCACTTCAAAATGTTTCCTGGTTGTCTTGATAGTTAAAGTTTGTCTTTTCCAAAGGTGGAAACAAATAACGCATTTGTGTAATATCTAAGTTAAATAAATACTAAATGCTACAGTTGGTGCATCCTCTTTAGTTAATATTGTCTCATAGAGGCCATGTGCAGTGTATTTCCTGTGAATGTACAGGGGCAAACTTCATTGCTGTTGTGATGTTAGTGTTACATGTTAAGTGAGACAAGGTATCAGCTGGGTTACAGGGGAAAGTTAATTTCTTTTTCCTTTCCTTTTCGTGTTAAAACTATGAGTCAGTAGCTGTTTCATTTATATTCTGTTTCCTCGATCATTTTAATGGATTTGAATTAATTTATTTTTCCTTTGCCTTTGAAATAGATACAAGAAGCTCCTCTGCACAGTGGATCTTACAAAGGATTTCTTTTTTAGCTACTCATATCATGTCATGCGTAGTCTTCAGAAGAACTTAAGTAATCAAGAGGCAGGACAGTTCCTTTATGGAACAATGTTTGTTTGGAATGAGTTCTTAACTCGTGGAATCCGCAACCACCTCAAGAATACTCTGTGGACAGTTGCATTAGTATATGGCTTCTTTAAACAGGTACGTATGCCAGTTAGTATATTTTCCATTTTTTTAAGGTGAACAGTTATGAGATATTTAAGAACAAACAATGTTTCAAGTGATGGAACATGTTCATAAGTTGTTTTTCCCATTTCTAGACCTCTGTAACAGGACTGCTGTTTGGTTCAAGGTTACTCTGCTGGAACTTTCATGCAAACCAAAATTTGGGTTTGTTTGTAGCGTGCATCATGTGAAATTAAATAGCTGTTATTGTGCGTGTCATGTTGCTTTTCTCTTCTATCGTTACGTCTTCATGTTATTATCTACTTGTTCCTCATCTTTGGAGTCATGAGGTTGTACAGTTAGATGCCGTTTCAGTTTTAATGTCAATGTTTCAGGACGTGCAAACAACTCAACAGAGAACACATTTCAGATCATATAACCAGCAAACATTGAAGCTAGCTTTGTAGTTAAATGCAAATGCTATATCCGTCTTTCCGCATGATTAAAAAAATTAATGTGATATTTACCGAGAAACACGGATATCTCTTAGAAGGGACTGTGTTTGTTTTGTTTTGTGTCAAACACCTAAGACACTTCCAATGACATTTTTGCCTCATCTTGATGTGACCTTAATTTAATACTAAAATTCTTAATTCTGAATACACACGGCCCACAATAATTTAACACTTGAAAAGATGTGATTGAAACTGTGAATGTTTGACAAACGAAATTTTCTTAACGCGGGAATAAGTATAAATGTTAAGAAAACCAAATTAATGGATTATGTGAAACTTGTTGAAAAGTTTCAAATTTTTTTTTTTTTTTGTTTTTTTTGTGGGGGATAAGAGGAAGGTATAATGTTAGGAGGATTTTAGTACAGTGAAGAAGAGGAGGAATTGTCTTAGTTAGGTGGTTATGTTTACATACACTTGATGTAAATGTATACATATATGTATTTGTATATAAGTCACTCTTTACTAATTCTTGTCAATATGACATGGGTAATTACTGAATCTATGATTTATCTTTTAAACATTTCATTACAGCACTAGACAATAATTACTTTATGATAAATTTATCTAGTATTTAATTAATATTCAATAATCAACCATGGCTATGTATAATTGGGAAAAGGCTCGGTTGTTGTTGAATCAGCCATGGCTATGTTTTTAATGTAGTTCATTGTAGAAAAAATATATTGCTATTATTCCTGTGTCATTGCCATGTTTATTACTTTTTTTTTTTTTTTTTTAAGATTTTCTGTGTCAACATGTCCTTGTTGTCTGTATAACATGTCCGTGTCCATGCTTCATAGAATATTCTATTGAATACATGTTCTGATTACCTTGAAACTTTAGTATGCAAATCATACTTTATGTAGAAGTGATCTTCATTTATTTATTTATTTATTTTTAAATTTTTTTATTTTTATACCAGGTCAAGTTTTCAATATCTGGAAGGGACTTCAAGTTGACCCTCATTGCTAGACGATCGCGTCACTATGCTGGCACCAGGTTAGAATACTTTTGGACTACTAGTAATATGCTTCTTTCATGAAATGAAACTAAGGTAAAACTGTGCTAATGACGTCCTTGGTATACACGAAGTAATTGGTGTACTTTTCATTGTAAATGTGAATTTTTTTATTCCCAGCTCTACAACCCATTGCTGTATGTACCACCTAAAAGGGTTCAGGGCACTGCACCTGAAATATTCTCAATAGCTGATCATATTTTCAAGTTTGCTTATAATCATACTGTGCATTCCTTGTGGTGTCTTATATGCTCACCTTTGTTGTTTGAGTGGTGTTTGATCAGAAAACTTATGTTAGTAGCTTTCCTTGGTAATTCAGCTCATAAAGCACTTCATATTTACCAAGTACAACTAAAATGAAGCTTCCATATCAATCTACAGAAAAGCTTCTTTTCCCCTACTTCTGCTCGTTGTGACTCTCATTTTTGTTTTTTCTTTCTCTGTGAAGATATTTAAAACGAGGTGTAAATGAGAAGGGTCGAGTAGCGAATGATGTCGAAACAGAACAGATTGTGTTTGAAGACGTTCCTGAAGGATGCCCAATACAAGTAACTTCCGTTGTGCAGAACCGGGGTTCTATACCCCTTTTTTGGTCGCAGGAAACGTCACGATTAAATATTAAACCCGACATCATATGTATGAGTCAAACACACTGATTTCTTGTATTCGAGCTGGTTATGTGCCATTGTGTTTTGCTGACTCTCTTTCTATTTCCAGTGTCAAAGAAGGACAACAAATACCTGGCCACTAGACTTCACTTCGAGAATCTTGTCAAGAGATATGGAAACCCAATCATTATATTGAATTTGATTAAGGTAGGCCTTTTTGCATTAATTGATGAACTTGACAAATTATTTGCTCAATTTGTAGTACTTGTATTTTGTGAATTTAACAATCCTCTGATGGGCTCTTCCTGTGATTTTATTTTCGTTTATGTCTTCTAATGGTTTGTGGTTAACAGACTCGTGAGAAGAAACCACGAGAATCTATTCTACGTGCGGAGTTTGCCAATGCTATTGATTTTATTAATAGAGATTTACCTGAGGAGAATCGCTTGAAGTTCCTTCACTGGGATCTAAATAAATACTCTAGAAAGTATATCATCTCTCCCTGCCTATTTTCAATTTTTGATATGCTGTTAACCAAGCAACATTTGATGTGACTGTGACCTTATCATTTTTCAGCAAAGCTACAAATGCGTTGGAACTTTTAAGCAAAGTGGCTGCCTACGCCCTAAACTTAACAGGATTCTTTTATTGTCATGTACCACAGACAGCTCGGACAAATGGATTGTCAAACTGGTCCCACTTTGAGTAAGTTTATCATAGAACAGCTTCCTTTGTGGCATGATATTCCTTGTCATTTCTAACTTTTGGATTGGGCATGGGTTGAAGACTTTTGCAACCCAAGCCTGGTCTAAGGTGCCCTTTTAATGTTATTGGTGCAACTAACATATGATATAATTGGTGATATCATATTTAGAGTCCTTTATTTATTTGTTTTATTTGGGGAAGTAGTTTGCAATTGAACAATTGGTCATGTACTTGACATCATTGACATCTACAACTAATATTAGAAATCAAACCTGAATTGTTTTTTTACTGCAAAAGCTGTTTAAAATTTTCTTTCATTGTATCAAAATTCTGCTCTAAGGTAAGTTTTATTGACTTACATGTGATTAACTCATTGGAAAAGATTAGAGTATACAAGAAATGATTAAAAATGATACTTTTTCTACCCCATCCTGTGTACATCTGAGCTTCAATTTAGCAACTGGACTATGCTGATCTTTGATTGGGTTGTTAGGAACTTTTCCACTCCTTGGCCTTGGGCTATGGGTCAGTCTTAAGTTGAGATCTTAGCAGGTAGTAGCATTGTTCAACCTTCCATAATATTCCAAATATAGTGATGTCAAGATTGCATGAGCCTTTGTTTCATTTTAAAATCTAAATTAAAAGGCTATATGGATCCTCAAATGAATTCTAAAAGTTTATAATTGGTTCATTAAACAATTCTTTGTAATTCAAGATTGGTGCATTCACACATTAAGGAATTTTTTTTTCCTGTTATTTTTTTCTTGATCAGCTTAAATGTTTTATTTTTTATTTAATTCTAGAGGGAATTATTGTTTCCTGAGAATCTCTCTTTCTTTCTCTGTAGGCCACAATGTAGTTTATTCCCTTTTGTTTTTGCCTACAGAATTTATTAGCTATTAACACACTTCACAATAAAAATGCTATGCAGGAAAAATGAAATCTGCACTCTACAAAACTGCGATAAGAACAAGGATGCCGACAACTTGGAAACAGAAGTCAGTGGTAGTAGCAGTGATGTCAGCACTGATCAGTCTATCAAGTCTCCAAAGTTTCAGAAAGGGGTCCTTAGGACCAATTGCATAGATTGTTTAGATCGCACAAATGTTGCGCAATATGCTTATGGATTGGTTGCTCTTGGTTATCAGCTACATGCTTTAGGATTTCTAGATGTCCCAAATATCGATTTAGATTCCTCTTTGGCGGATGATTTAATGAGGGTTTATGAGACAATGGGTGACACCCTTGCACTACAATATGGTGGATCTGCGGCACACAATAAGGTAATCATTCTCAAAAACAGTGCTAGAGGATACTTATTATTTTCAGAGAATTTACAAAGTATATTTGTATGCCAAGGACCTAGGAAATATCTATATTCTATTGTAAATTTCAACTGGAAGGGTTTCAAGGCTCATATGACTTATATTTGGAGCTATGTTTCGTTGTTAAACTGGTATGTCATTTTGTAAGAAATTTCCTAGACTGGAACAAGATGCCGGGACATGATTTATGCAGTTTTTTTTTCAAATGTTGGCAAGGCTCTTTTATGTTAACTTTCTAATTGATGTTTTGTATATTGGAATCCTGGGAATGTCTTTTAAAGTTGGCACAATCAGAGAGAACGATGTGTTTCCATGTAGTGTAAATTGTAAATACTTGTAATGTGTGTATTCTCATTCAAATGGGAAAAACTTTTAAGGTTGTTGACATGTTGTTTCGTGGGTTGGTAGTTCTTGTTTTCCCAAGGGCACAAGTATTGATGTGGTCACAGTTGATAAGAACAAAATTTTGTATCACCCATTCAAGAAATCATTAATAACTAATTAGCCCTAGTCATTACAAAATCAATTCAAGTTTTGAATATCATCTTACTGGTACACAGTTGTCTTGGAGAGCAAGAATATCAACACACAAATAATTACACAAGAGGATCTTTTAGAACTACAATTTATGTCAGCATACATGTATCATGAAATGGATCAAAGATTTTGATATTATATCATTATTGCATTGAAGTTAACCTAGACTGTTGACTCATTAAAAACAATTATATGCTTGTCATACAGTGTGAATTGAATGGGAACCATACATTCACTGTCATGCATACCATCTAGTTCGTCTTTTTGTTGATGCATAATTGTCTAGCATCTGTATACCTTTACATCTTTCATCAAAACCTCAACTAGACCTTAGTAATTGGTATTTTTTCTATTAATTGATTGGATACAATTTAATTTCTTAAATCTCGTCTCATTCTCGTGTCTCTACTTCTGAATATTTTTTCTGGAGCATGACAGCTCACAGTGAAGTCATCCAGGTTCTCATATTTTTCTTTCCTAGACTGGTTGCATTTACATTCTTCTCAAAGTATGTAATGATATCCATCTTATGTTCTATTGCTTTCTGATATGAAACAGATATTCTCTGAGAGAAGGGGTCAATGGAAAGCAGCAACCCAGTCCCAGGAGTTATTTAGAACTCTACAGCGGTTCTACAGTAATGCCTACATGGATGCTGAGAAACAAGATGCCATTAATGTGTAAGTCATAAAACTACTTCTCTAAACAAGTATATATGCTTATGCGAGCAACAGCATATTGCATCTTTGTATGCCTGGTGCATGGGCTTGCTAGTGGGCCTTCCTTTTTTTTTGGTTTCGTGTGTGGGCGGTGGGGGGAATCACTGAGGAAATTTTGGCAAATCTACTATTTTTTATATATCTTTAATTGGAAGTGATCTCTGTTGTATCCTCTATTGTTTAGGATTAAATAAATAATCATAGTTAAGTCCTCAATTTCTCCTTGCAATTGGCTTTATATTTGGGCAGGTTTTTGGGGCATTTCCAGCCACAACAGGGTAAACCGGCACTGTGGGAACTGGATTCAGATCAGCATTACAGTGTTGGAAGGCACAGTTTTAATTTTGCAGAAGAAAATGCGAGGTAAAAGTGGCTTTGTATTGTGATCATTCTGTTAATTTACTCTGAAGTAGTTTTAGTATGTTAACTACTATCAGTATGATAGATATAAGGCAACTTTTAGAAAAAATTGCAAAGGTATAAAGAGGCATTGTTTGTTTCAATGGGGAAAGCTCATGCTATCAAGCATGAAAATATAGTTCCGAGTCTGAGAGTTGCCACTTCGTGTCCATAATGCCAAAGGTTAGGTTAGGATTAGTCCTCAACTCCCAGCATCCTGCTTTAGTGGGAGCAACGCTGGGTAATGATTTCTCTCTTTCTTTCCTCAGCAAAAAAATATATTCGTATGCAGAGTTTACCTGAAAATACTTTCAAAAGAGCATTGCAGCAGTAGTAGAACAATGTCATTACCCAAATTGCATCCAAATTCCATTTTAGTTGCAATTTATCATTAATATGAGAGTTTTTTTAGTTTATGGTAGTTAATATGAGAGTTGCTTATTCAATTTTTTTGTTCCTAGACCACATTTTCGACCTTAAAAAAAAGAAGCATTTATCTTCATATATAAGCTCATCTGGATGAACCAGCTATAGACTAGTTCATTATTTACCCAAAAAGTAAAAGGAAAAAACAATGATAATATAAAATAAAGACAATGGACATTACAGGTTATTTGTTAAGGAATTAAATTTTCTTATTATTATTATTATTATTATTATTAATTTTTTTTTTTTTTTTTTTTAAGCTTCTTTTTAAATTTGGAGAATGCACTTATATCAAAATGGTTTTTGTTTCATTCTCTAATCACAGATGGAGACATTTCTGACATCTGCTTAAAACTCCATGCCTTCGGTGTGACTCATCTTTGAAATTCTGTTTTCTTTTAATGATGCCTGAGTTTGTTTAACCATATGTGTGAAAATCACAACTAAATATCTCAATTCCCTAATCGCTGATCTCTGCTTAGATGATGCTAAATAGGTAGGATAGGGTTTTTTCTATCATGTGTGCATGTGGGGCTTGAGAATAATATACTTGTGATGTCCATTTTGTGATTATATATGATAAAGTTGGTTTCATTTGAAGCTGTTAACAAAGCCTCTTTCTTGGTTGTGTAGGTCATTTATTAAGAGGTCACTATCCGATGGCAATATTCTTTGTGAAAGCAACTCATCTATTGAAGCAACAAATGCTGGACAGAATGAATATTCCGATCAGCTTTTGCCTGAGAAGTTGCATGGTGGTAACAAGGGTATTTCGGAGTCCACGCCAGAAATATCTACTTGTGAAAGTGATATATCTTATTCCAGGTCATTTTACATCACATTTCCATATCTGTTACCTCGAGGAGTTCCTTTATCTTCTAACTCAGAATTCTGTACGAATGTAATTGGGGTTTGCATTTAGTTAGTGTGTCAAAATAAATAATGGGCTGAAGTAACAACTATATTTGTGATATATCTTTTGAGAATGAACATTTTAGTGGAAGGTCCAGAAAGTACATGTTTTGAATTCTCGGGATCCATATATCGAAAACCCAGTTTGATAAGCCATGATTGCAGGCCAACCAAATGAACATGCAAGTTGTGATTCATTTGTAGAAGTGATGGAAAAATAGAAGGGAGAGGAGAAAGGATGGAAGTTGCATCTATATGGACACCCTCCTTTTGTTTGGTTGAGTTGAAAAGAAGGAAGTGGGGTGGTAATATTACTTTACTACCATACCCTTAATATATAAAGTAATGCACTTAAATGAGGTTAATATGTCTTCTTAATTTTATCTCATAACTACCCTTCTTTCACTCTCCTCTTACTTCCAGTTTTGAATGAAAGCAAAAGGTTGGCGCCGGAGGGATGACTCATTCATTCTCCAATCCTTCCCTTGTTCCTCTCTCCTCTATCAAACAAATGAAGCTTTACTCCATCCCTCCATTGAAACAATCTTTTGCATAAAGAATGGTGGAGTATACATGCCAATCATTGGTAACTTGATAGTTTTCAATTTTGGCATGCTTCAACCAGAACACGGTCGTCGATGCTTGATATGGGCAACCCGTTGCAAACTCCATTATGACATCTCTTATTTACATCTTAACAATACAAGAATGTAGAATGATATCTTTTTTTCTGTTAGTATTGTAGTTACATAATATAGGGTTCTCTTTCATACATATGCCATATTGTTTGAGAATTCCATTTTGGCAAATTGACTCCAATCTTCTGCTATTTCTCCTCTCATTTTCAGAGTGAAATTGTTAAAGCTGATCTCTGCATGTGCTTTCCACAACCAGTAAATTAAGGGTTTGCTGATGCTGTTATAGGTCTATTGGTCTTTTGCAAATGATATTGAAGTTTACCAAATATTCTTCAGTTGAATTTTTTGTCAATTTTGAATTTCTGACATATGAGATTAACTAATTTGTACATAATCCATTATGCACACAGTATTGGACTATTTAAGAGGAATTTCTTTTATTAATTGCATCCTTGGTTATGAAAATTTTCTTTTCCTAAAGTTGTTATGAAATTCAGGAGAAAATCCTTTGGCAACGGGAGGTATTGCATTAGAAGTTGTCATAAGGAAATTTTATTCACCTAGTTTTAGTTGCTTGTAAAGTTTTATCTTCTTAATCTTGCCTTTGTTCTGTAGGTATACCCCCTCAATGTCTCGCAGGCAGCTTTTCTCAGATGCACAACTGGACCAGTGTGAAACCGATCACATTTTTTTCAATCAATGCCGAGATTCATTCAACTGCTCAAATTTTCTTGATGTAGACTGGATTTCTTCATCTGGAAATTCATGTGAAGAAGAAACATATGATAGGTAATACCTGATATTTTACTCTCTTAGGCAACGCTTCTTGGAATACTACTCTGAATAATAAATATGCTGAAAAGAATTGTTTCAGTTTTCAATTGTTGCCATTACCAGCATCCCTTCATTAATTTGCAGTAGCCACCAGTACTACCATAACTTCTCTCTGCACGGTGTAGCCACCATAACCATCTCTTCATAAATTACTATCATCAATATCTGTACCAACTTTTGATATGCAGTTTGCAACAAAGAATAAAAGAGAGTATGAAACTTCCCTGTGTGTGTGTGTATGTGTATGCGTATGTGTACATAATTTTCTTTCCTCCAATGTATTCTGCAAGCATATACAGGATGTTTGTTTTATTTTTATTTTCATTCATTCTGTCTTTTTTTTTTTTTTTGTTTTTTTTTGGGTTCCATATTGGCACTTATCTATTAGACGTGGATGAAGTTGAGAACTCTGATGGTCTCATTGTTAGGTCCTTTGGATCTTCAAGTGGGATTTCAGGAGGTTCTTATGACTGAAAATATGACAAAATTTGTGTTATTAGTAGTCTTGTATCTGGTGCACGTGTGTCTTGCCAAGATCTCTAAACAATTTTTGGCTGCCTTTTCCATTAAGTTTTTGCAGCACAATAAAATGGTATAATCTTGCAGAATCTCTAGACATTGTTGCTACCCAAAACAGCATGAAAATAACGAAAACATATCTGTTAATAACCTTTCTCCTTGTGTTGGTAATCTTCTAGGTAGGATCCATCTTATATTTAAGCTTTCCAGGGAATTGTATGACAGATATGGAACTTCTTCTTGCCTGACCCATCATTTAAAATGTGTCAGTTTTAAATTAAACACAAGATGTTTGAGATTTTTTTTTTTTTTTTTTTTTTTACATCTTTTGAGAAATTAGCATCCGTAGTCCGAGTTTTCAAACCACTTTGGCATGTAATGGCTGTTGTGCAGATCTTCGCTCGTGTGCTCTCCTATTGCTGGTCTCTCATCAGATAGTTTTCTAAACGGACTTAAAGGGGAAACAGGACCTTCTGCATGTGAGCCTGGATCCAGTATGAAAGTAAGTAATCTATTTAATCTTACTGTTGGCACTAATATGAAATTGTGAATTTGACATTTTACCTGAACTGGGTTACATCTATACTACTATATAAATGTCAATAACATTTTTATATACTGTTTTTTAATGAATTTGAAATTTAATAATTAGTTTATATACAATTTTTAATAATTAATTAATCTGTGCTTGTCCATCTACATTCCTATTTTTTATGAACCTTTTTAAAAAAAAATAAATCACGTACTTGTGATAAGAGTTTTCACTTTACAGTGTCTCCATCCACATATTTTTACATATACATTTTTAATGATATTTAATCACATATATACTTTATATCTTTAGTCCCATACAAATATCAATAGCATATTTTGATTTTTTATATATAATAATTAATTAATCCGTGTCATCTACATTCCTATTTTTTATAAGAATAATAAATCTGTAGTTTTTTGTGTTTGTAGACTACTGTTAGAGACTAAGGTTGTGATTTTCTTCAATACTTCTAAAGCAGTCCATATTTTGCATCTCTGTAGTTTTTGGTGTCAGAGACTAAGGTTGTGATTTTCTTCAATACCTTCTAAAGCAGTCCATATTTTGCATGGGTAGAGATAAATTCTGTATAATAGCAATAATAAATCGGAAGGCCCTCATAGATAACATAAAATTTGGACTTGCTATATTTGATTTTGATCCAGGACCCTGAATCAGTAACACAACTGAGAAACCATATATTCCTTTTTCTTGGTGTCGACCTCTTATAGAATTCAGACAATTCATTTCTGAATGTCTGCCTCATATCAAAACATCAAGTGTTGAGCAATCTATAACGGTAATATTTTGAGGAAGATGCAGCCCCTCTTAGTGATTAGATAAAAAACATGATGCATAATTATGTAAATCTTTGTAATGTTTTATCTTCTGCTTTTCTACTTGCCATTTAGTAAAACATCTCTAATTACTCTCCCTTTTATTTAAAGGAAAGGGAGCAAAATGGGACGGAACTCACTCACGGTGCTGCAAAGAATTCTGATGTTCTCACCCAGTATTCTGAGAGCTTCATTCATTGGGTAAATCATGGAGAGATGCTATTCCCATGAAAACTTCGCTCAAGTTATTTTATAGAAATCAATATTCATTGTCCTCTTTATCTGATTCAATCAACCCATCCGAAGGATGTGGGTTTCCCAACAAGAATAAATGGCAGGAGATCAACAGTATATTATTTTTTAACCCAAAAAAAAAGAAAAAAAAGAAAAAAAAGGAAGAAAAAAAGAAGAAAGAAGAAAGAAGAGGAAGAAGGAAAGGAAAATTTTGTCTCTTGGAAGATTGATCCCACTAAACATAGATATGCTCAGGTCATTTAAAGTTTGCAGCATATTTCTGACCGGAAAATCCTTCATCTGAGAACAATACAAGAAGTACAAAGAGTAAATAGCGGCAGTTATTTTTTCGGGGCTCTCGGTTCCTCTTTCAGGTTGTAGAGATGCTGAAGTTTTTGATCTTGTAAATATTCTTCAAACATATATTCTGAAATTCTTAGCTCCATTTGGCAGATTTATTTTAGAATTTTCTTGCAATTTTTTTTTTTTTTTTTAACCATTTATCAATTCCGAATGTGAATTTATGCGGATGTGTGTATACTCGCGAAGTATTGTGCTGGATTTTTGGCATCGCTTTAGAATTCCATTTCTGGAGGACCAATTTAGTGTTAGTAGCTATTTAGCAGACAATCCAACTGGCATATGTTAATCATACGATTTGAATGGTAGAATTACATTCCATATGCCTGTTTTTGCTGCACTCCTCTCCCTTACACTGGAATTGTTTAAGGTCACCTGAGCTCCGGAGTTTGCTTTGCACTGGAGATTGGTCTTGCTACAAATTTTTTATTTTTTTTATGTTTTTTTGGTTAGTAATGTTTATTATAATTTGGCATCATCATCATCTCAAAGGTTTGGTTGGATGAATAAAAGTACAAACTTTTGTTTAGTAAGAAGACAGACAAAATCACGTAGTTGATTAAATTGCGTAGTTACAACTTACAAATCAAAGTTTGAAAACGATGATTACAGCTTTCACTTTCTTAGGAGATGTTATTTCGTTTTGGGAAGCGTGATTGAAGTATATTTAAGACCCTCATTTTCACTCTGATAACTTTTTTTTTGGGGAGCTCCTCGAAACCTTTGCTTGGAAGGGTCTCCCACTCAAAACGGAACTCTTACAAAGCGGAACTCTTATCTTCTTAAGGTTCTGTTTGGTTAGTTAGAAAAAAAAAGAAATAGAAAGTGAAGTGAATGAAAAGAATTTTTTTTTTAGTATGCATTTGGTTAGTATGAAAATTTATCCAAGAAAATTGTAAAAAAATATTAGTTTGTTAGTTTGGATAGTATGAAAGTGAAAAGAAAGTGATTCTGCATACCAAAACTACCCTTATGAATTAATAAATTATTAAATTCAAATATATAATTATTTATATTTATTTTTATTATTTATATTTAGAATAAGGCTTCGTAATATTTTCTAGGTAAAACTAATTATTAGTTTAAGATAAACAAATTAAAAAAAAAATTAGAGACTACTGTTTGGGAGAAAAATTAAATATTTCACCATATAAAAGATATATATATATATATATATATATATATACCGGATTATGAGTAATTAGAATTGTAACATAAAAGGATTAAAAATAAATAAAAATTATATTTAGAAGCAAGATCTATTTTACCATGAATTTGGTTAGTATTCAAGTCATTCGAGAAAGTTATGATAAAATATTTACTTATCAAAAAATAAAAAAAAAAGTTATGGTAAAATATGATTTTATTAATTTGGGTAGGATGAAAGTGAAAAAAAAAAAAATTCTACTTACCAAAATTACTTTTATATCCGTTAGAATTTAAAAAATAAATATTGTTCAATAGATGATAAAAAAAAAAATTATAATAAAATAAGACAAACTAATTTTTAAAGGTTGGATTACACATAGTTAGAGAGCAGAGGAGGCTCAACTAAATATTAATATTTTTTTTCTTTTATTTTTGAACCTTCCCATTAGATACGTGGATTATACTAAAAAAGATGCACCTATCCTATTTTATTGAAAGAAAAAAAAAAAAATTATTGCTTCATAAAAATAGTTGTTGAAAACTCACAAAGTCACAAAAGAGAGAATTAACCAACAACAAATACAAACGAGTTAGTTGGATAAAATAAAAAAGTCAAATAAAAGGAACTCACGGGAAAATATTTTGGCTTGTTATGTGTAAAATTTTGCGAAAAACTAGATTTTCTCTTTCTTTTCTTTTTCCTTCTATCCAAACTCCAAAAAAGTTTAAAATTTTCCTCTTTCATTTCTGTTCTAGTTGATTCCACCTAACCAAACGAAGCCTAAATAAATCGTACTCATTTAGAAAGTAAGTGTACAAGTCGTGATCACAATGCAGTATTTTATCCCTGTACCAATGCTGTAATGCATTACTCCCAGCTGTAATGCAATACTCCCTCCATCACACTCGAGTTACGGTTTCCCAAACATGACACTTATTAGGAGTCAGAGGGATAGCATTTTAACTAACAATGGTTCTTTTCTTCACCCATATCAAAAATTAACAAGGATTACTTGCTTGGAAACGAAAGGAAAAAAAAATATCAACTATAAATACAAGTAAAATAAACCCAAACAAGAAAATTTATCAGAATTTTGATACCAAACTATGTCGAACAATATCAAAAGAAAGATAAACCTCAATCATTACCAGACTTTTAGCCTAAATAAAATCCTTTCTACAATTTAAGTTCAAAAAGTTGAAAGATAATTGCATCAATCCAAACAAAAAGGGTCTGAAATGAGTACTCAAATAAAATTATTCCTAGCCAGTTGCCACAGGAAGAAAAGCATCCATTCCGGCCATGGGCACTGGTGCCGCTGGCACTATTCCAGCCCATATTGACAGCGCCATTTACTATTCCCAACCAGTTGGCGCAGGAGCAGGAGCAGCAGCAACAGGATCGATTCCAGCCGGTTCTGCACTTGGTGGCACTGCTGCACTATCCCAGCCCCCATCCAGAGTCACTGGAACTGCCATTTACAAGATGCACAACACAGAAAACTAGAGTTACCCATCTGGACAACAGAACATAAATGAAAAAACCAACAGGCCTGTGGCCTAGCGGTACAAGGCTCCTATTTCCTAAAGGGAGGTCAGGGGTTCGAACTTCAGTGGAGGTAGTGTGTGTGTGTGTGTCCCAACTAGGAATAAAAAAACATAAATGAGAAAAAGAAGCAATAAATAGACAATGTGATCAAAATAAACAAAACAAAGTAAAAATGAAGGAAACTAACCATAAAACTGACTCCTACAGAAATTTTGACAAGTGGTTACATATCACAGTCGTGGTGGTGTAATCACATGGTTCAATGAATATTTTTCCCATTATCTTTGAATTTCGCTTCTAAATGTTCTCTTTTTCAATTTCAAGTGAAATAGGCTACCTCTTGAACCCTACGGCCTTTAACAAGTCTCTTTGTTATGGTGAAATAGATTGCCAATTGAATGTGCCAGAAGGGTCTCTGTTTGGTTCAGTTTTCTAAAAAACAGTTCTAAACAGAAAACTGTTTTCAGTAAACTATAAAAGGTAGTAGTACACTCTAAAAAAGACCTTTTTTGACAAAATAAATATCTACCAAATAAACTTCTGTAGAGTTTTCAATTTTCTAAAAATTGAAAAAATTGAAAACTGAGTCGATAGCTTTTTATGTACAACTTGAGTCTAAATAGATCCACTCAAGCGGTAGACATTCATATCACCTGGTATTTGTGAATATAAAGCCACGGTGCAACCTTATGACTAATAAAGAGAGTTCATTGCCTTTGTTAAGTGGGTTATCTCATCGTACCATTTTACTTTATATTTAAAGAAAGACCAAAAAGTACCCACCCGGATCTGAAGTCCAACCAGCACCACCACCGGCAGCAGGAACTGCAGGAATGGAAGTTGCAGCCCCAGGCCACTGGGCATCAGCAATTGGGTTGGACCAATTATCAGCAGCAATACCCAATGGAGGGGCAGACGAATAATCTCCATAATCTGGGCCTGCAAGTGCTTCCTCTTCTTCTTGTTCTTTAGTTTCTTCGGGCTCCCTGTAGAAGAATAGATCGACCTGCAAACCGGAAGGCATATGCTACATTTAAAAATTTATAGCATTATGAATAACTCCACCTAACCAAATTCTCTTTTAAAAAATTACAACAGAAATTCATGTTCATAAACTTGAAAGAGGCCTCTACATACTTTCCACATCTTGGCCAACTAAATGCCAAACCCAACAAAGAAAGTAAATCAAACATCAGATAATAGTTCACACACTCTATTACAAAAGAGAATCATTTTGTTGCAACCGTTTGTTTATTGAAAACCAAAAGCATAAAATATTAGGCACAATAAAGCAACACTTTCTAACAAAATTTACCATAACATCCCACTTGTGCCCTTGAGGAATTGTGTTGCGCATCTGTAGAACCATCCTCGCCAATAGCCAGAACAGACAGCCAATGCTGTGCTTCCCCTTGTTATTAGCAGGTATGCCAATATCAACATACCCCATTGGGGAATCAGTATCACAAAAGGCAATGGTGGGAATGTTCCCAAGAGCAGCTTCTTTAATAGGCTGCAGTCATTCATTACAACAAATCAAATCAGGATCAGAAAGGGTAAATAGTATTGATTTAAGAACAATAGCATACAAGAATTTCACACTATGAGAACAGTAAACACAGAATAATTCCAGTTTCATCAGTTCTAAAAATTTGGGGATAATTACTAGTTCATTGGCCTATGAAGAAGTGCAGCAGTCTAGACTCCGCTTTATGCATTTTCCATGTACAAAGAATCAATTCAACAATCAATCACACGATGATGCATGTAAAAAAATTGAAAGAATCACTAACCTGGTGATCAGTTCGTGGATCAGTAAGGATGAGGAGACGAGGCTCACTGAATGAAGTCTGAAGCTGATTAGTAAATGTTCCAGGAGTATGGCGACCAGCAATTGCATGAGCACCAGTATATTGGGCAAACTTCAAGACAGCTCTCTGACCATAGGGCCTAGCAGACTGAACAATTATGTCATGAGGGTTCTCAATCGCAACAATAACTCTGGCGGCCATATGAAGCTTCTCCCATGTTTTTCCAAGGTTGATTATATATACTCCTGAACATTGAAATAGAAATGATTAAGCAGGAGGAAAAACAAACAAAAAACAAAAAAAAGGAAACAACAATGGAACAAGACCACTAGCGTATAGGATAACTAGATATTGTGACTAATCCTGTATCATTCATGAATCCCCTTTGATGGTGGTAGGGGTGCCATTTTCACACATGCGCTCAACAACATTGTCAAATATAGATATTGAAACCTAATAGAAGCCAAAGTCAATATTGGAATTTAAATAAGCACATCACCTATAAAAATTCTGCTTAACCCTTAATAAATCAGTCCATGTAAAAATGCCACAATGACAGTATATATAGTGACCAAAATAATGGACTTCGCTTGATTCATAGTACATGTATGTGTTATAACTGCTAACAAACAATCATCATTTACATTTTCAAGTAAACACATTCAAACCCAACAGAAAACCATTCAGCGAATTTGCTGCAACTGCTGTTTGATATATCAAAGAATTTACCTTCAGACTGCAAGCAACTACAACTGATAAATCAACATCGCTCTTAATTGGTTTGTGACCAAACTTATATGCCCTAGACAAACCACCATTAGCACACTATATTACTTGCGCTATGCAATAATTCATATTTAGGCATCCTAATCTAAAGCCGTAGTGTCATAAGTCAATGAAAAAGTTTCTGAATTATTACCGAACATGCCATAAAACCAAACAAATACACGGAACACACATTAATTATATATGTGTTTGCATCTATGTAAGGCAAAAGAAATGACATCCAAATGTATTCAACAAATTCTATAACTTCAGTCTATTTCAGATGAACAAAAGATTTCAATTAAAAAAATACAAATACAGGTTTAAAATCATCATATATGTAGAAACGAAAACTAAATTTAGTTCAACGAGCAGTAAATCAGCTCGAAGAGAACAGAAAACAAATCATATCTAACCAATCGCACTTTTAGATACCACCATAATTAGAAACACAAAAGCAGAAAAACATGTACACATACACGCAGACATATACATATAAAATCCAAGGTTAATGTAAAAAAAAATATGAATGCTAATTTTAGGCAAATATTAGAAGAATCAGATCAGAATGAAAAAAAGCTAGCTAGCTAAATAAACTTTCAGATCACAACACAATTAGAAACATAAGTACAGAGAAACATATATATACACAAAACACATATATACATGTGTGTGTTTATATGGATAGATTGAAAGTTAGAAAAAGAGAAAAGAACCATCGTTGCGGCGCTTGAAGACGTAACGTTCCATCTGGAAGTCGCAATTCTTGGTGCCGAGGTGTACGTCGGCAGCCAACATCATCTGTATGTCTGCCTCTTTAGTCGTCAGTGGCCTCGGAGGAGCCTCCATTTTCGCTCTGTTTGCCAAACCCTAGCTTTTGCCCTTTTTTGTGTGAGTTGAGAGGAACATAAAGGTGGCTCACTAAACCCTAATATATGTGAATATGAGAATTTATTTGCAAAAATACCCTTGAATTGTTTTGTTTTCTCAAGATCTGTATCTTTTGTCAAATAATCCCCCATCCCATCAAACAAATCTGTATTGCATATTGGATGTGTCATTTATTTATGTTCTAATAAGGGACAATATTTATGATCCTCACAGACAGCATGAATAAAATTATTACATGGCCCAACAAAATGAAATACAGATAAGTCCATATTTGGTCTCCCAAATAAAATTCTTTATTGGGCCTTTAACAACTTTAAACCCAATACTAAATATAAAATGTTTGTAAGCCCAACTCCAATAGCAAATTTACTTGTACATGTACTTGTACTTGTACTTTTCTTTTATCTTACCAAAAAGAAAAAACAATAGCAGTGGTTACAAACTTACAAAGCTAGGTGTGGTGTAATAGCCCAGATGGTAAGGGCGCTGTGCTTGTGGCCAAATCGCCCAGGTTTGATTCCCCGTCCTATATATGTCAGTTGCAAACTTTTTTTTAAAAAAAAGAAATTTACAAAGCTCCATCATCTCCTATTTCACACACTCTTGCTCTCTCTATTTTTTTAATTAAAAAATTACCAAGGGGATGAACCTTAACAAAAGGGTCATATATTCACCGTATTTATTTTTCATTATGTAAATGTATATGTATATTCAATATAAATAATGTATGAATATCACTGTGTACCCCTGGCGTAAAGTTAAAAAGTACTGTGCCAATAAGGCATTTTGAAGTTAAAATTATGGTTCTTCCCATTCACATTATATGGGCAATATAATGTATTTCTAATTCACAGTATATATTAAACTACTTTTTCTTTAAGTTAAACTTTATAGGGAGGCTTTGAGGCCAATGACACCTAACATTGTAGTAGGAGAAGTTTATAAGATATACCAAAAGGATAAACAAATTTAAAGCATAAATCGGAACAAATTGATTAATTTGAGTTAAAACTATTTGGAATGTGAATCAACAAATTGTAAATGCAAATACATTTACTACTTGTAATTGAGAAGAACGAGAAATTACTTGAATATCACAAGTATTTGTTTGTCTCTCTTTAGTTCAGTCGTACTATGTCACAAATTTAAAATTTAATCCGAAATTACATACAGAGGCATACACCCAAGGCACACTTTGAACCAATCAATCCTAAATTGAAATAAAAATCTAACAACTTTATGTCTTTTCAATTTTAAACACTTATTAATTTATTGCATGTAAGGGTCAGGTGCAGAAAATACTTCCCAAGTAAGTTTACAGTGCATCACACCCTTCTCGTGCAAAAAATACCCCTCAAGTTTCAATTTAGTGCAATCAAGTCCTCCTTACACATTTAAAACTAAACTTGACTAAAATACCCTTAATTAACAATTTTATAAAATATATAAAAATACAAATTTTGTAAAAAGATGAAAAAGGACAATAAACAGTAACTTTGTTATAGGAGAAAATCGGCATAGAAGAGTGAGGCATCGAGACTGTCGATGAGCTTGGTGTTAGGGTTTTTTTTATCAGAAAAGAGATGCCCCAGGTGGCGGCGACCTCGGAGGCTGTGGCGTTGATAGGGGAGACAGTGGCGGAGGCAACTGTGAACTTATGGCTTTCATCTCTGCCGTGCCGGAGAACAAGAGAGCCGGTAATCGAAAACCTAATTTGATCTGATCAAAGCTTTGTTTTCTATTTGCTTATTCAATTGATTTGTTTCTTATTCTGTTTGTTTTTTAATTTGTCTTTAAGCTCTGTTTCAATCACTGTTGTTCGAAGCATGTGGTCGTACAGTGAATCCGATGAACGGCGCCGTTGGTCTCCTCTTCGCCGAAAAATGGCAGCTGTGCCAAGCCGCCGTGGAGACAGTGTTTGCAAGCAGCGAATTGCGGCCGATCTCGTATCTAGATGGCGATAAAAGCTTCTATGCGTTTCTCGTTAACTTCGTGAAGTTTCCAATCAGTGTCGTTGGTCTCATTTCCGCCGAAAATGGCAGCTATGCCGAGCCGCCGTGGAGACGGTGCTCGCAGGTGACGAATTGCGGACGATCCACATTGGAATTCCGTATTCGGACGGCGATGAAGGCTCCTATGTGTTTCTCGCTAACTCGATGAAGTTTCAAAATCGGCTTTCCGGACACTTAACAGACTTCAATTTCTTTCCAGCGTCATGATGACCATGAACTCAGGGAATCGAGGTCGTCCTTTTCAGATAAAAGATCTATTGGTCAAGTGATCGATAAAATGTGAAATTGACGGCAAAGCACCCGATCAACAGCACCGCCGACAACGTCATTATAAACAATGGATTGTGGCGACGGTAAGCTAATCGATCAGATCATTTAAAACTTTGAGCGTTCTGCGGCCATGGCTGACTCATCCGAGTTGGATTCGGGGGTGAAGCGGATGCGAAGTGACGACTTGAGATGAGAGAGAGCCATGGCCACATAACTGGTCTGGAGATCTCTGCACATTCTGACACATCCTTCACCTTCATTATCATTGTCGCCAACAGCCACCAGAAACAATACAATTTGTTTATTAATATTAATATATAATTGAAGGCTAAATTGTAAAATGACACAGCTTAATGGGCATTTTCGGAAGAGTAAAAGGACAAAATGTGTATTATAGCAATAATTTATGTCAGATTTCTTATAAAGGGATAATTTTGCACAATTTTAAAAGATTAGGGATATTTATTACACACTTTTTAAAATAAAGAGTAAAAGTACTACGCAAAGTATACTTGAAGGCTGTTTTCTGCACTAACCCCATTGTACGTAAAGTAACAAAGAATTAGATTCATTAATAGAATTGAAGTATATAAATATCCCACCCTTTCAAACTCAAATGAAATTTGGTAAGATTTTATTTATGAACGAGACCAAATATAATACAAGCTAGAAATGGTCCCTGAACGGTAACCTCTCTTTACTTAATTTTCACATTTGCCCTCCCCTGGTTTTATATACGAACCTTGCATTCCACTTTCTCCTCCACACACAACTTCTCTCTCTCTCTAGAACTATTTTTCTCTCTATCTAAGTCAATCAAATTTGTCACTAAAAATGCACATCTAATGTGCCCTTGTGTGTATATGTATTATACAATATATATATAAAGATCATTTGTGTATCACGCACATTTGAATTGAAATGATTGAGAATTAGTTAAATTAAAATCAAATATATAAAGTATAAATTTAATAAAGATTTGAATATTAATAATGACGAGGACAACACATTTAGGCCCGTTTACTAACGCTTTCACTTTTTTACTTTTGCTTTCTCAAAAAGTAAAATCATGATTTTCATTTCTGAAGCTGAAATATAAAGTAGAATTATGTTTACTAATTTTTTATACTTTCAATATTTTCAAAGCAAGAAATTAGAAAGCAAGTTTGATAATTATAATTTTGATTTTGCTTTCTAAATTGACAATCAATGTTATATACTTTCTGTATATAATATATATATCATCAATGCTGCAATTGGCATCGGGTTTGGACCGCCAAAAACCAAGATATTGAGATGAAGATAACAAAATTCCAGATATGCCTTTTAGAATGAGAGAGTTCACTATATATATATATGTGTGTGTGTGTGTATATATCATCACTCTGCAAAATTTTCTAGAGAAAGAGACTGAGAGACTTGACTGATTTATGTGATGAAATTGGTGTGCCCATGCCCAGTAAAGCGTTGGTCAACACCGACGACGACGTTCTCTTCCTCATCTTCCTCCTAGTTGATTTGAGCCTCAATTTGCTTTTCTTTTGATGAATTCGAGCCACCTGACGGAGATTCCTTTGTTGAATCCTTCGATTTTGAGGTTGGGTTTTGTTAGAAATTTGTCTAAAATTCATTTATGACATGGCAAAAATCTTTTAGCTAAAGAAGTGTAATGGTGAAGCTTCCAAATTAGCTTCCGAAGGAAGTTTTGAAATTCTTGGGCAGCAAGAATTATTCTTGGGCAATAAATGTTGTTTGGCTTCCAAAGGAAGCTTTGTAACATACTTGGACACCAAGTATATTATTGGCTATAAATAGCCTTTGCACTTTGTCGATGAAAAGTATCGGAAGCTTTGTAACATACTTGGACACCAAGTATATTATTGGCTATAAATAGCCTTTGCACTTTGTCGATGAAAAGTATCCAAGAGTAAGATAATATTCGGATCAAGAGAATATATTGGTTTTGTGTGTGTGAGAAAATCCTTTTGTGTGTACAATTTTCAAGTAACATTTGAAGCTTGTCTTTGGGTGGGTTTTTCTCTTTGTGTAAACCACATACTATTTGGGGTATTTCTTGAGTGTCGAGTGAGTCTTCTTTATTGGTGAATGAGTGGTGTGAGAAGAGAGATTATTGTGAGGAAGAATCAAAACGTTCTTCAGTTTGTAATCTTTTTCTTTATAGTGATACGAATCATCATTGCTCGTGGACGTAATCCTATTTGTGAGGGTGAACCACGTATAAATCCTTGTCTCGTTTGTGTGCGTCTATTTATTTTCTTATCATTAATTTTTCTCTTATTCTCATAAACTCCTATTCGATCATTTTTTTATAACGAACTGGTGTCAGAGCTCGGGTTCGTGTGTTGTGTACAGATACTGTTTACACATATGGTACTGTGAACTGTTCATAGATATTATTCGGGTACTGTTCACAAATACGGTACTATTCATTGAGAAAATTTTTGGGGGAGTTTTTTGAGATGTCGATAAAATACGAGATTGAAAAATTTGATGGCAAGATTAGTTTTAGTCTTTGGCGTATTAAGATGCAGGCCTGCTTACTCAGCAAGGTTTTGGCAAAGGAAGAGTCAGAAAGAGGAGTTACAATCCTAATTCTCAAAAGGGTTGTGTGGAGACTACACAATGTGGTGGGAGAATGAAATACGTTTTTAGATGGTAACTGAAATTGCAGCAGTTTTTACTGGGAGGCAGACCCATAAGGATATGTGTGATATTGACTTGCAATAATC